TGGATTTTGATCCACTAACTGTCCTTCATACAACTACATTTAAGCGTTTGAAACGTTTAAAGGCACCATATAAAATACAGTTTTATTAGTGGGGCAAATATATCTTCTTGAACCTTCAACAATTATTTCACAGAAGCATCTTAACCCTGGTTGGTGGCAAACTCCATTTGTTGTAACCTTCTGCAACATTACTGAGGACTTTACTACTATGCCTGGAGATGAAGATGTGCTCCTACATCTAGAGCTGTTTGGTGAATATTCGGAGTCAGCATTCATTCATTTAGCAGTACATCTAGAGCAGCCATTCTCAACCTTCTTACCATGGAGGAACTGTTGAAATAGTTTTCAGAGAACCCTTTCTAAAATGATTAGACCTACATTCATGGGTGTATTTATTTACCACAAGGCAAACAAGGCATTTGCCTTGGGCGGCATTTTGCGGGGGGGGGGGGCAGCACTGCCCCTCAGAAGAAGGGACACACGTGGCATGGTGGGTTCCGAGAGAGGTTGCGGTTTCATGACGATGTATGCACAGCCCGACTCTCGTTCCCGGTGATGTCCGGAGCTGTGAAGGTGAGTGTCTTTCTCTCTCTCGCCATGGGGGATGGCGGCTGGTGTATGGGGGGCAGTGGTAGTGGAAGGCTCTCTCGGGTGGGAATCAGGGGTGTTGTTGATCAATGTCAGGCTCTCTCTATGGGGGAGGTGCCAATTTTTGTGATGCCTAGGGCAGCACAAAACCTAAATACACCACTGACTACATCTCATGTCACATTAGCATGATCAGAATGTTGTAGAGACTTTTATATAAAATAATAATAAATGGGGGTTATTTATAATCGTGAAATAAAGCAAATAAAAATAATAGTCAAAGAAACATAGGCATTGTACATTGTTGGGACTCCTTACATTCGTGATCAGTGTAGAAGTGACCCCTTACATTGGTGGTTGGTGTAGACGTACTTCCTTACATTGATAGTCAGAGTACAAATAACCCCTTACGTTGGTGGTCAATGTAGATGTGAACCATTACTTTGGTGGTCAGAGTAGAAGTGACCCCTTACATTGGTGGTCAGTGTAGAAGTGATCCCTTACATTGGTGGTTGGTGTAGACGTGCCTCTTTACATTGATGGTCAGAGTACAAATAACCCCTTACGTTGGTGGTCAATGTAGATGTGAGCCATTACCTTGGTGGTCAGTGTAGAAGCGACCCCTTACATTGGTGGTTGGTGTAGACGTGCCTCCTTACATTGATGGTCATAGTACAAATAGCCCCTTATGTTGGTGGACAATGTAGATGTGAACCATTACTTTGGTGGTCAGTGTAAGAAGTGACCCCTTACATTGGTGGTTGATGTAGACGTGCCTCCTTACATTGATGGTCAGAGTACAAATAACCCCTTATGTTGGTCGTCAATGTAGATGTAAACCATTACTTTGGTGGTCAGTGTAGATGTGACCCCTTACATTGGTGGTTGGTGTAGAAGTGCCTCCTTACATTGATGGTGAGTACAAATAACCCCTTACATTGGTGGTCAATGTAGATGTAAACCATTACTTTGGTGGTCAGTGTAGTGTGACCCCTTACATTGGTGGTTGGTGTAGAAGTGCCCCTTACATTGATGGTCAGAGTACAAATAACCCCTTACATTGGTGGTCAATGTAGATGTGAACCATTGTAAAAATAGGTAAATGTGAGCGCACAAATACACTTTAAAAGTGAAAGCAGCCAAGCACAAGGTAACCAAAATAACCCTGAAATGAATAATATAAAATTGATGTGCGGCACTAAGAGAGGTATAAATATAAATAGTGTCTAATGATAAACATAAAATAAAAACAAGATTCATTGATCATAATAAATCGTAAATAAGTTAATCAGGTGACCAAGGTGCTAATTACTCCTGCGTCTTCCTGGAGAAGGTGAATGTGCAAATAGGTGTATAAGCTCTATTGCCTCTCCTCTGTGGGTGGATGGGTGCCAAGGTGTAAGCTGGTTGCTATCAGGGTACTCCAGAGTTCCCTTTGGTGGGATAGGTAAGTGCAATCCTCTAGGTCTAATGGAGGCTCCCTCTCTGGAGGTTAGGATAGCTGTGAAACCAAAAACTCCCGTCCAAGTTTAAAGATGGCCGCCGGAGCTCCACGTTGCTCCAGCGGCGTGACGTCATGGTGTTACTGGCTCTTCCTTACGCGTTTCGTGCACCCGCATGTCGTCATTGATGGTCAGAGTACAAATAACCCCTTACGTTGGTGGTCAATGTAGATGTAAACCATTACTTTGGTGGTCAGTGTAGAAGTGACCCCTTATATTGGTGGTCAGTGTAGAAGTGACCCCTTACATTGGTGATCATTGAAGTCATCTTTTACAGTGATGGTCATTGTAGAAGTGTCCCCTTACATTAATGGTGAGTGTAGAAATGATCCCTCACAGTGGTGTTCAGTGTATAAGCGATACCTTACATTGGTGGTCAGTGTAGAAATGACCTCTTATTATTGGTGATTCTGGTAGAAGTGACCCCTTACATTGCTGGGCAGTGTAGAATTCACCCTTTACATTTGTGGTCAGAGTTTATTTTCGGCATGCAAGTTGTCCCATATCAGTCAGTGACAATTAACTACTTAACATACCCGTACGTCACCCAACTTTCAGAGGTCATATATATGCAGCTGCAGGCATCATCCTGGTATCTTTTTTTTACAGCTGGCGGTGAGCTTTATTGTAAAATTAGTCCTAATGGCTAATTAACCGCTGGATTTATTTTAAAAGTGGCAGTAAGGGTCGTACCTCTTCTGCTGCCTTTCTGGGCTCTCCCGTCCAAATGGGAAACCCAGTAGCCGAATGACCATAGAGCTGATTGGGGACCAGAATGGCCTCAATCATCTCTATGGTCTAGGAAACCAGAAGCAACAAGTATTTTGGCACTTTCAGTTTCGACAGTTGTCAACAAGCCATTACTGGTTTGAAAAAAGCATCGTATGATCCGAAGCTTTTAAGAACAGAAGAGAGATCTGGGGTTTAATAGACCCCAAATCTCTCAGTAAAGAGTACCTGTCATTGCTCATGCTATCACAAGGAATGTTTACATTCCTTGTGATAACAATAAAAGGGATTAGAAAAAAAAAATTAAAGGGACAGTGTAAAAATAATAATTAGAAAAAAAGAAATAAACAAAATCAACATTTTTAAAGAGCCTCACCGAGAATGCATGCGTTGGTCCCACGTCAGTACGTAAACAGCGATCGCACCACATATGTGTGGTATCGCCACGAATGTCAGATCAAGAACAATAATTTTAGCATCAGACCTCTAAAGTGGTAACCTGTAAGGGCTTTTAAATTTTATTTAATTTTAAAGCGTGACATGTTTGGTATCTATGTACTTGTCGTAATATCATCTTTTATATTTTACCAAAGAATTGGGTATTAATTGTGTTTTTGTGCATTAAAATTCATTAAAGTGTATTTTTTCCCAAAAAATGCATTTGAAAAACTGCTGTGCAAAGACCGCGTGACATAAAAAATTGCAACGCTCGCCATTTTATTCTCTAGGGCCTCTGCTTGAATAACAATATGTAATGTTTGAGGCTTTCTAAGTAAGTTAAGTGATTAATGTGACTGTCAGTGAAACATTTCATGCTCCATGTTGGAAAACATTTAGAAGACGATAACCACTCGAAGCCGCTGAAAACTATAAGCTTTATTTAGAATTTGGCAAAAAAAAAAAGTTTACATTTTGTTAGTAATTTTAGCTATTTTGTGCCATATACTCACCTTCTGCAATGCCAAAATGTAATATATGATGATATGTCAGAAGATGATTTATACAAGAGAGGGAAAGTATATTATGTGAAGTACAAAGGGTACATTTATGATTGTTTGCACATATGTCATAATATGATATTTTCAAAAACCTTGACATCAATACACATTATAATAACAAAAGAGCAATAAAAAAATTCTACTATTACCTAATGAACAACAGTTGGTGCGCAACAAAATTAGATAAGATTTGATTAGATAGCAACAATCGAGTATGTCCTTGTATCTGGAGTATTAGGGGAAGTCATAAAAATACTTTATATCGTAGGATTTCAGAATAACTGAAGACTTACAACTTGCTGAAAAATTATTCTTTGCAGATGGCCATTTTCCACTAATAGTACACATTTTTGTAAAGGCCAATTGCAATCAACACAATATCTTATACTTTTTAAAACACGGAGGAACAAAAATAATAAAAAACAGCCTAGAATAGTACAAGTTGCAAGAAACTGTTATACAGTAAAAGTTACACCCGTTCTTAACCTCGGAAACTACTAAACAACTTATTCCTTCCCTTGTTATTTCTCACCTTGACTATTGTAACTCCATCCTCATTGACCGACCTCATTGCAGGCTATCCCCTCTTCAGTCTATCATGAATGCTGCTGCCAGAACCATCCACCTTACTAACCGTTTCGTATCTGCCATCCCTCTATGCCAATCCCTCCACAGCCCCCCACTCAGTGTCCTCCATCTCTGTCTGCCAATCCCTCCACTGACCTCCACTCAATGTCCTCCATCCCTCTCTGCCAATCCCTCCACTGGCCTCCACTCAGTGTCCTCCATCCCTGTCTGCCAATCCCTCCACTGACCTCCACTCAATGTCCTCCATCCCTCTCTGCCAATCCCTCCACTGGCCTCCACTCAGTGTCCTCCATCCCTGTCTGCCAATCCCTCCACTGACCTCCACTTAGTGTCCTACATCCCTCTCTGCCAATCCCTCCACTGGCCTCCACTCTCCGGGGAGACCAGATATAGTGAATGCAGGGTCTGGGGAGAACAAATATAGTGAATGCAGGGTCCGGGGAGAGCGGATATAGTGAATGCAGGGTCCGGGGAGAGCGGATATAGTGAATGCGGGGTCCGGGAAGAGCGGATATAGTGAATGCAGGGTCCGGGGAGAGCGGATATAGTGAATGCGAAGTCCGGGGAGAGAGGATATAGTGAATGCAGGGTCCGGGGAGAGCGGATATAGAGAATGCGGGGTCCGGGAAGAGCGGATATAGTGAATGTGGGGTCCGGGGAGAGCGGATATAGGTGAATGCGGGGTCCGGGGAGAGCGGATATAGTGAATGCAGGGTCCGGGAAGAGCGGATATAGTGAATGCAGGGTCCGGGGAGAGCGGATATAGTGAATGCGGGGTCCGGGGAGAGAGGATATAGTGAATGCAGGGTCTGGGGAGAGCGGATATAGAGAATGCGGGGTCCGGGAAGAGCGGATATAGTGAATGCGGGGTCCGGGGAGAGCGGATATAGTGAATGCGGGGTCCGGGGAGAGCGGATATAGTGAATGCGGGGTCCGGGGTTTAGTGCACATTAAAGTTAAAGATGAAATTGTATACATTTTTAAATGTGTCCAAAAATATTTAAAATCATAGTCTTAAGAAAAGTCGGAAGGGATTCTCCCCTTTATTAGAGAGCAGCTCCAGTCTTCCCCCCAAAAATTAAAAGTCTTACTCCTTAATATAAGGACACTTACCTGTCCAGGGATCCAGCGATGTCCTCACTCTAGCTGATTTCTCAATAGGCTTTAGGTGCAGTTGCCGGCATCTTAAGTAAGGGAAACTGTTAGCTTCACATCCGGTTTCCTACTGCGCATGCACAAGCCTCGCTGCACTTTGTGAATGGTCCTGCGGTTTTTTGGGACCTGTGCCCAGAAGGTGCGAGGGGAAAGAAGCAGGGGCTGAACTTCCGCACAGATCGCAGCGGAGATCTGATTGGAAGTGGGAGTGCGTACCTGTCAAAACCAGGCATCCACTCCCCCCCCTAAAAAAAAAGTACCACATGTGGCAGTGGAAGGGTGCAAACAAGAGAAACGTCCTCTTTTGGGTGAAGTTCCACTCTAAGGTATGCTATAGAGCACAGGTGTCAAACTGGTGGCCCTCCAGCTGTTGCCAAACTACAAGTCCCATGAGGCATTACAAGATTGACAGTTACAAGCGTGACTCCCAAAGGCAGAGGCATGATGGGACTTGTAGTTTCACAACAGTTGGAGGGCCGCCAGTTTGACACCCTTGCTATAGAGTCAAGGAGGTGAGATATGAACTCCTTTATATCATAACCAAACCTTCTGCTGTTATTCACTGAAATCATTCTAAAGCTTATGAATTTCATTAGAATTTCATTCTAAAATTTCTGATTTTGGAATGTTCAATTTTCTAATGGTTAGTGATTAAATTTTTGTTAATTTTCAACAATAGTGACAAAAAAATTCAGAGAAGCAGGATGGAAAATTTGTCGCAAATGGATGAATGTGGTTTTTGTTCACGGAATATTGTACATATTATAGTGAAACCTGTTTAGTTCCTACCGAAATAGTAGGTCTGGGTGATTTTTTTTTTTTTATTGTAAAAAAAAAAAATTTTTAAAACAATTTTGAAGGGGTAATTAATACAGATGCACAGTATCCATGACCAAATCTTATAAAATAGTTAAGCGAATATGGCTGCTAACGACCGTTATTTCTGTGACCAGTACATGGTGGGTGGGGGTTGTTCAGGGATTTTTGTGTTAAATTTGTTTTTTTTATTTCTGGAATTTGTATCTTTCTTTTTTTATTCAAAATGTAAAATATGTATGGAAAAAAAAATAAAAAGAGTAGGCGATACAAGAATAATTTGCAGGAAGGGGTTTAACCAAAGAGAATGGAAACCATACACAAGTGTAAGCCATACATCTAAGCAAACTAATGTAGGGCCTTGAGGACAACTAGAGAGACCTTGAAAAGAAAAAAATATTATATAAGAAAACACATAGGACCACAATGATATCATAAGAAAAAGGGGACTAAGAGAATAACACATACAACATCAGAGAAGAGCAGACACGTTCAATTCTAGGTGGTGGGGCTCCAAGGAAGGCTCTAGCTACACGGATAAAGAAGCGCTAAACGACAGACCTATAGCATAAAGCAGGCCAAGAAATCAACTGAGAAGGGGTGAAAATTTGCAGAATTACTACTAGCCCGCCAACAGGTCCAGGTAGTGCAGACCTTTTCGGGATTCCTCTGCCACCAACATCTCCGTCACCATGATGTCATTAAGAACCTGTGCCCATTCCAAGAGTGAAGGGCGGAGAGGTATTCCTCCAAAGACGGGAAATGGCAACTCTAGCCGCCAAAAGGCAGTGTCGCAAGATAACTTTTTAAATCTTGGATATGGGCCCAGGAATCATGGACCAAAATGCGATTTTTGGATGAAGCTTTAATTCAAGTTGGGCCAGTGATGGCAAGAAAGGACGATTTTTAGAATTTCTGTTTGAACGTTCAAACTTTCAGCTTAATAAACCACTGAGGAACAAAGGGTTAAAAAGAGACAGTTGGCCCATTCTGTGTATTTACACCTAGAACCAATAACTAGAAGAGGAAGAAAAGTGTAACCAATGTCAGAAATATGGTTCTCAGTCTATGGACCCTGGATGGGGGACCTGATAGTACACAAAATAACCACAAGAACAATACTTTCAAAATGAGACTTTCAAGGATATCTACAGGGTGATTGAAAAGTAACTCCCTATTTTAAACTATTTATAAATTTTTTATATGAAGTTACTTTTTTCTCAATTCTTTAATGTATGTTCCTTAATCGATGACAATTAAATCTGCGATACCATGAATGCCGAAAAGTATCTCACTATGCTGCAAGATGAAATCTGGCCAGTTGTCAATACCTGGGAGAATATTGAAGACTCGATTTTTATGCAAGATGGTGCTCCTCCACATTTTGCTATTATTGTTCGTGAATGGCTGAATGATCATTTTCCTGAGAGATGGTTGGGTCGACGTGGTCCACAAGAGTGGCCGGCCAGAAGCCCCGATTTAACACCCTGTGACTTTTTTCTTTGGGGTTGGTTGAAAGGAACAAGTTTACTCTACGAAACCAAAGACTTTAGAAGAACTTGAAGGGTGACTACGAGAAGTTATTTCTGCCATCCCACAAGAGTTCCTGCGAAGATCAGTTGATGCGATTTTCCGAGCGGCTTCAGAAGCTGCAGGCGAATGCTGGTGCACATATCGAATTTTAAATAAAACTCCATGTTATGTGTGTTCTCATATTCATTTTTTGTAAAAATGATTAAAAAATAAATTATAAGATTTTTAAAATAAGCAGTTACTTTTCAATCACCCTGTACATCCTTCTATTGGGAAAAAAATTCTATAAATTCTACAACCAGTATTACCAAATATAGTCTCCAAATATGTTCCTCTAGTGTGTGTTTTGTGTTTGACTGTTTCCAATGCGTAATTACAAATAACATTAGTGCCATAATAAAATTATTTATTACAGGCAGGGGCGGACTAACAACTCATGGAGCCCCGGGCAATAGGGGATCATGGGGCCCCTGTGTCTTTGCCAAAACTGCTCAAAAAAGCCTATGAAAACCGTAGGTACCAGGAAATATGCATCTCATGGGGCCCCCTACTGACCACGGGCCCCCCGGCAGTGCCCGAGTTTCCAAATGGTCAGACTGTTTCCGCCCCTGATTACAGGTAATAATTTTACAGTATATAGTGTCGACAATTTACGCAGCGCTTTACATATAAACTCACCTGCCACTTTATTAGGTACACCTTGCTAGTGCCAAGAAAATCTCCCCCACACCATGACACCACCACCACCAGCCTGAACCGTTGATACAAGGCAGGATGGATCCCCCACACCATGTCACTACCACCACCAGCCTGAACTTTGATACAAGGCAGGATGGATCCACCACACCATGCCTGACACCACCCACCACACCACCACCAGCCTGAACCGTTGATATAAGGCAGGATGGATCCCCTACACCATGACACCACCACCACCACCACAAGGCAGGATGGATCCACACCATGACACCACCACCACCAGCCTGAACCGTTGATATAAGGCAGGATGGATCCATGCTTGAACCATGTTGGCAGGATGGATACACATGTCTGAACCTATCATCTGAATGTCGCAACTGAAATCGAGACTCATCAGACCAGGCAGCGTTTTTCCAATATTCTATTGTCCATATTTGGTGAGCCTGTGCGAATTGTAGCCTCCGTATCCTGTTCTTAGCTGACAGGAGTGGCACCTGGTGTGGTCTTCTGCTGCTGTAGCCCATCTGCTTCAAGGTTGGACGTGTTGAGTGTTCAGAGATGGTATTCTGCATACCTTGGTTGTAATGAGTTATTTGAGTTCCTGTTGCCTTTCTATCATCTGGAACCAGTCTGCCCATTCTCCTCTCCTCTGACATCAACAAGGCATTTTCCTCCACACAACTGCCGCTCTCTGGATATTTTCTCTTTTTCGGACCACTCTCTGTAATCCCTAGAGATGGTTGTGTGTGAAAATCCCAGTAGATCAGCAATTTTTTAAATACTCAGACTAGCCCATCTGGCACTAACAACCATGCCACGTTCAAAGTCACTTAAATCCCCTTTCTTCCCCATTCTGATGCTCGGTTTGAACTTCAGCAAGTCGACTTCACCACATCTAGATGCCTAAATGCATTGAGTTGCTGCCATGTGATTGGCTGATTAGCAATTTGTGTTACCAAGGAATTGTACAGGTGTGCCTAATAAAGTGGACGACGGGCGTATATTGTACATTCACATCAGTTCTCGCCCTCAAGGAGCGTACACTCTAATGCAGGCCCATAGACGGTTTGTTTATCGGCCAATTTTCGGCCGAAAAAACTAAACATCGGTCCTTCTGTTGCCACCAATGATTGCGAAAATCGTCTGTTTTTCACAAATTTTCCAGCATGACTGATAATAGAAATGAGGAGGAACCGTGAAAATCGGCCGATGACATTGCCCCACTAACGGTGCGAATATCGGACGATTATTCTTTCGGAGGAAAAATCAGCCAATAAATGAACCATCTATGGCCTGCATAAGGTCCTTAACTCACATTCATTCATACATACTTTAACCTCCCTGCATGTCTTTGGAGTGTGGGAGGAAACTGAAGTACCCGGAGAAAACCCACGCAGACACAGGGGGAACATGCAAACTCCAGGCAGGTAGTGCCATGGTTGGGATTTGAAACGACCCCCTAGTGCTTCTAGGCGGAAGTGCTAACCACTTAGCATATTTTTAGGATATTTTGAATATCTTGATGACATTTGACTGTCAAGTTAACTAGGGATGCACCTAAATTTCGGTGGCCGAAACGCTTCGGCCAAAAAAAAAAGTACTGATACAGGTGCCGAAAAAAACCCCGCCCCTCACCGTCGCTGCTCGGTAGTTCTTAGCCTTACCTGAGAAACCATCGATCCCGGCGATGGAAAGATGAAGCCGCCACTCATCTCTATGCCCTTGGAGGACCGGAGCGATGTCACTTCCTGTTCCGGCCATTTTTTTTTTTTTTTTAAAAGCACTAGATTAGTGCTTCTTT